GCTTAACTGAAGAAAATAGATCTCACATTGCACTTTCTGAAGTGTTGCAAGTCACTTATTTTATCTTGCTTCCTATAATTTCATGTGATGAAAACAACTTAATTGAGCAACAGGCAGGAAGAATGTTTGCATAATCACCATCAGTTTCAAGGAACAGCTATATAAAATGTAACATTTTCAAAAATATATATTTTTATGGCTACAATGGCAGGGACCATACATGTTTCTGCAGTCATAGTGATCAGCAAATATACATCAGTACATCTCTATTAATGGGCCATTTATTGGATAACACTGAAGACATTTACTATCTTCAGCTGATTGTAAAAAATGTAGGAAGGTGTTGAAGTGTGTCCTAACTATACCCTGACTATATATGGGAATGTCTTCTGGAAAGAACAGAAATTCATTTTGTACATTTAGTAAAACTTCCTTTATGTATCTTCATTATTCAAGTGCTGAAAATCTATGTGTTTAATATATATGGTTCTCATACACACGTACAAAACAATCTCCTCTATTTTCCAGCAACACGTTTAAGACAAAAACTATTTTGTGCCCTCAGAAAGTATGGACAGAAGAAAAGGAAATCAGAATATTCTTTCATCCTACACTAATACACGAAATCCTAATTTTGAGTATCATAAATATGGTACTATATTTCTGAAGGATGTCTTTGGGGAAAGGCTGGTATAAGTCTGAATCTGGACTTTGAATGCTACCTTGAGGGTATCCAAAATGAATTCATTTCCGATCTTCTCACATTGACCTTAAAAGCAGATAGAAGAATATCCTTTTATTTATGTCTCAGATTGCAAAAGCGTTCAAATATGAAGACTTCTTCAATTTACTTGCCATGATATTGGTTTTGGTGAGTTCATTAATACAAGCATTCAGATGTCTATGGAGATCCTTAATCATCCATCGCGAAGTGGTTTTCCGAAAAGGCAACTGGACTTTCTTAGGGTTTTTTTTCCCTTTGAAAACATTTCTCATTCAAGAGGCTTCTTCAATTCTAACTGATTGAATTTCCCCCTTCTTGGATGAGAAGTAAAATGTTTTCAAAGAAAAAAAAAACAACTAAAAAAGTCCACTTACCTTTTAGAAAAAGCACCTTTGAGACATATTCAAATGTGATGAAATAGTTGCTAGCTTTGTAGTGTTCTTACACTTTTGGGTTTTACATTTATTTTATTGAATGTAGATTTCATGCTGCTAACAACATTTGCACCATTAATTGGTTTCAGTAGTTTCTTTCCAGCCTAGCTTTCTTTCTTTTTTTTAAAAAAAGAAATGATTGTTGAGGAAAGGAAGCCATTTATTAAATCTTGTTAGGCGACTTTTAATGGGAATATGGTTGTGGTGCAGTTTGTTATGGTCCCCAGTATAGAAACTAAAATGTACCTTGTCTTCTTTAGATTGTTAACTCATTTCCCCAAGATAGGAGTTCAGAGTTGTGTTTGCAGTTCCTGCAATGCAATATTTCACAAATCAGGCCAAGTTTATTTTCTTTAAATGCTTTAACCAGCATGAACATCCCTCTCACTGTTAGGGTGGTTATTTGAATTTGCTTTAGCAAAGATTACATGGATAAACACAGCATTGTCACGGTTAATAGAAACCTGTGCAGTGAGGTCTGAGGCTGCAAGATCGGTAACAGAGTCAATGACAGTGAAGTATGGCCTTATCGAAAGGAGAATTCATAAGAGGCTGCCCTGGGACACTCCACCACTGTCCTTCTGTGTATCCTGACAATGTTATCTGTCCTCTCAGTGCTGAGTATCAAATGTCTATCATGAGTATAGAAATTAATTTAATGTCACCTGAAGACATGCAATTAATCTTTTAGAGGTTTTCATAATACCTTTACAGAAAGAGTTGCCAGTTTGGTGGATTTGGATTTTGGGGCTTAGTTGAAGATAAGGAAAATTAATTTTTCATCAGGGTTAATACAAGCTAGCAGGGGTACAAAGGCTGAGAGAGATGGTTAGGGAATTTGTCAAGTGTTGTCACTTGGAATAATGGTGCTTAACGTCTGATAGGTGTAATCAAGAGTTGAGATTTCTATAGAAAGGGATTAATCAATTTGCTCACTACAGAATGCGCACGAGCGATACCGTTTATTTGTGCGGTTTTAAGAATTAGAATAAGATTTGATCTGTCAAATTGCAAGAGGCTCTGACAGTATCAATGGGGCAGTATTTTATCAGGACATCCTCAAAGCATTTGTTATAAATAAAATTGTCCAGCTAATATTGATAGCCAACTGACTTCATCTTCATTGTGAAGCTGTCAAGGTATTTGTGAGAAAAGTACAGCTTACAAAATTCTTGTGCTCCTTCATTTCTCTTATTTATTAACGTCCTTCCTAATAAAGCATGATCAGGGATTACCTTTCTAAAAATAAATAGTGGAATTGGAAGCTTCTGAATCCTACTCATTTAATTTCTTGCCTTTTCAACTGAAATTAATAAAGATGATTAATAACATTCTTAGTTTTTAAACCATGTAATGAAGTGTTAGCCTACAGAAATTGTGTAAAGATATATGTCCACTTATAATATAAATATTTACAAAGTGCAGATATACCATTTCTTGAATTTTAATTTTTTTAAGACTCTAGATTTGCAGGATCTTTTATTTTCAGATCAACAGTTCAAGGCATGCTATGACAAGGGCACTCTTGCTGAGCTTTACTTCTGATAGATCAGCTTGCCTAATCCTACTCTTGGCTTGTCATTCAAAAATAATACAAATATGAGTTTCTGAGGGGGGATTTAATATTTTTAGTTCAAAGTAGGAAAGTGTGTTTATTTACCAGCAGGGATATATTACATTTCTCTGCTGCTATATAAATGCAGTTTTAAACTTCTGTGGAGTGATAAGCATTGTCGAAAGATTTCACTGTGGTTACTTCAAATTCAATTAAGATATTTTAAGAAGTAGAATAAAGTAGAGAGGGAAAGTCTCTTAGAATATACTTAATTCTTATCTTCAGTTTATCATGTCTGTTTAAAACACATAGGTCTTTGCAAAGTTTACAGCTTTTTTAGAATTGTGTTGGTTTTAATTTTTCCTCAGATTTTGGGATGAATATTTCAGTCGTGACTAACAGAATGCTATTTCCTCAAGAGGTTTCTTAAGGAACACATCACATAACCATTGGTTGACTTGATTTTCTTTGAACAATCATAATTAGAAAAGGTCTGCCTGGTGCAGAAAGACAGTAGCCTGCCTGGATCAGACCAAAATCATAACTCATGTTAATCTAGCAACCTTATATTTCCCTTAGGGATGAGCAAAACATTCTGTTATTTTGGATGGTCCATGTCATGCCCCTGGTGGAGACTGACTCTGAGGAAGAGGAGGAACAGCCAACAGGAAGTGGGAGTGTGGCTCCAGAGGTAGTGGAGGAGGCTGGGGAAGGGCAGAGGCCGGCTGAGCAGTCAGAGGAGGATGAAAGCCCATCCCCTATCAATCCTAGGTCACGCAGGGAGGAGAGGATCAGTAAAAAGCAAGGTCTACTCAGGAGGAGATTACCATGATCGTCCTCGTGGTTTGCAGCTCAGAGCTATGTATATAAATAAGTTTGTAACTGCATAGTCAGAATTGCTGGAGTCAAAGTTTAGTGTTTACTTTGAAAGAGGTTTATCTTTGCTGGCGTTCTCGGTTATTTTCCTAGAATGTATGATTAATTATCTTGGCTTGCTTCAGAACTCTTGTCAATGTGGTTTGTTTTGGTTTTCTTTTTGCCTCATTATTTACTTTTGTGACTTTAAACTGTGCCTAATAAAACAGTGAAGTTAAGTTGAAGGCCTTACCAGACTTTAATGTATGTTTTGGGTTTTGGGTTATTTTGAGAGACTACGGGTCATCACAGACCATATCCATACCAAAATTATTAAGAGCTTATCTGGGCACAGATCTTGAAGGCATCCGTGCTGGCAAAATGCTCCAGGTTAAGAGGCAGTGGCTAAAATAGGAAGGGATAAGACAAGATAAGATTGTGGGAAGATCATAGACATTAAGATGGGAAGCAAGTGTAGTCCAATCTGGACCTGAGTTGAGGGGATGAGTAAAAAAGTTGGCTATCCTTAAATAGATGATAAGGTAGAAAAAGGAGATCTTCTTTAAAACTTTGCAGTATTTATCTAGCAATTCTATAGTGAGCGCATGAATCCGGTGAGATTTTTGTCAACAGATGAACAGCAATAAACATTGTGTTCAGTTCCCTGTACTATTCTGGTTTCTTGCTCCTGACAGAAGGTGACCATGGGCTTAAAAAAAAAAAATGAGGAAAATTGGGGGTCTGGATAGATATACCTTGCTTGATTTCCGGTGCAGTAGTGTGTAAGGGAAAGGAAGATGCTGGAAATATTGATGAGCTGGCTGGTACAGAGACAGGCTTGTCAACCTTCCTCTAGTTTGCCCGTCAGATGAAGGAGCCATCTGATAGGGAAACCAGCTATCTGGATTTAGTTTGGACAGATTCTGATTTCCTGGAAAGGTGTGCCATGAGCCAGAATGCATTTGATTCATGCTTGAATCAAAACACATTTTTCATTTTGTGTACGGTATATCTCCAAATGTTGACAGTCAACAATGTGAAATGCCTTCATGCCACAAGCAGGACTTGAAGGCAACAGGTTCCCCAGCATTTTGTTATATAGTTACATTGACTGAAAATTCTGAAAGTTAAGAGCCCCAGAACTAGAAGGAATCCACATTGTGGAAAGTTGTACTAGCGTTTGATTCACATATATGTCTATTGAAAAAAAAAAAAACCTCTGTGATTTTTAACTCGCAAGGAATAAATCACGCAGGATTTAACCCTCTCTCAATTTTAGGAAGCCATGCACATTCTCTTCTGAATAAAGCATGATCTTAATACTTCTTAATCTGTTATCCAAGCTCTATTCTATAGTAGTTGTTGCCAGAAACACGGGGTAGATTTGTTTTCTTTTTAATGTATTAAGCAAAATGTTTTAAATCTCTTACAGGGTGGTGAGAACATTGGCTTTTCTCATTTGGAAGAATCTCCTCCTCAGCTTCCACAGCCATCGGAGCAGAGACATCAGCCGGTACGGAAGGTCACACTGACAAAAGGGACAGTGCAGCAACCACATCAGCCTCATCAGCATCTTCTGTCACAGATTCATTCTGCGTTTCCTCAAGGACTAAAAAATATCCCAGGGATGCATCAAGTGAAAAAGGTATTGATTCTGGTTTGTACTGATATCTTCATTAGTTGCTTGAAGAAATAACTTTTCAGGGTTATTGAGATGCCGAATTTGTTAACTACACTAGCTATTGACGTAGCAGAAAAAGAATTTCTCTTGATGGTATAGATTTGTGATTGCTGTTTTGACTTCAGATAAAGCTATGGACGATGAAAACATTCCCATGTGAATGCTGGTTGTCAAGTAACATTCCGGTATCTGATAAGTTGGATTCCTATTTTTAACATCTTCAGAAGCACCAAACAGAATTGATGTATTCTAACACTGCAGATAACTGTATTGGGGACCCTTGTATTGGGGACCCAAATCCTTTTGTAAGATCTTTGCTAGTGTGTAATTTCATATGATAATAGAAAATGGCTTAGGAGCCTACTTTTTGTAAGCCATGCATGTTTGCTACCTTAATGTACAGTATTGTGCAAACATATTTGGCAGTTGTGCAAAAAATGCAGTAAATTAAGAATGTTTTCAGAAATAGAAGTGCTAATAATTTATTTTTTATCAATTAATAAAATGGAAAGTAAATGAAAAGAACAGAAATGCAAATCAAATCAATATTTGGTATTGACCACTCTTTGCCTTCAAAACAGTTTCAATTCTTACTCTTGCACAAAATCAGGGATTTTGTAGATTTAGAGTCAGGTGTATTATACCAATTATATCAAGCAGGTACTAATTGGCATCGATTTCCTAAGTGGGTTGAAACACAATCATTAACTGAAATAGTAGGAGGCTTAAATCAGGGTAAGGAACAGCCAAACTCTGCTATAATGTGAGGTTGTGGAGGGCAATTGTACACCCCATGGTAAAATTGAGCACAGGAACAAAAAGTAGTTATACTGCATCAGCAAGGCCTCTCCCAGGCAAAGATTTCAAACCAGACTTAGAGTTTTAAGGTGTGCTGTTCAAGCTCTTCTGTTGAAGCACAAAGAAATGGGCAATGTTGAAGACCATAGTCACAGTGGTCAGCCAAGGAGACTTAATACAACAGATGAAAGAAACATCATGTTTGCTTCCCTTCGACATCAGAAAATGCCTAGCTGTACCATCAGCACAGAACTGGCAGAAACCAGAAACTTTGGGAGAAGTCTGGCCAGAAGTAGACTTCATGGAAGAACTGAAGCCAAAAAGCCATACCTCTGATGGAAACAAGGCTAAGAGGGTTTTGTTTTTTTTAGTATTTATTTGATTTGTCGGTCGCTTACAAGATGCAGGTATAAGAATAAATACAGTTTTGAATACATGAGATAGATACTTATAAGAAAAATAAACAATAGGACAGGGATGGTAGGCACAATTGGTGTGCTTATGCACGCCCCCTATGAGCCTCTTAGGAAGGGGGTGAGGTCAATAGTAGACAGTCTTAAGGTTAAAGTTTTTGGGGTTTGGGGAAGAAACCACAGAGTCAGGTAGAGTATTACAAACATTGACCACTCTGTTGCTGAAGTCGTATTTCCTGCAATCAAGTTTGGTGCGATTAACCTTGAGTTTGTATCTATTGTGTGCTCTTGTGTTGTTATGGTTGAAGCTGAAATATTCATTGACAGGTAGGACATTGCAATGTATGATTTTATATACCATACTTAGATCAGACCGAAGACGGCGTAATTCAAGGTTTTCTTGGTCTAGAATTTCAAGTCTGGTGGCATAAGGTATTCTGCAATGAGTAGAGGAATGGAGAACTCTTCTTGTGAAATATTTCTGGACTAAACTAAGCATGAAAAACTAGGAATGGGGTGCAGAAAAATGGCAGCAGGTGCTCTAGAGTGATGACCCAAAATTTGAAATATTGGCTGTAGCAAGAGCCGATTTGTTTGCCGAAGGACTGGAGAGCATACAGGCAAGTGGAGCATGGTGAAGGTTCCTTGCAAGTTTGGGACTGCATTTCTGCAAATGGAGATTTGATCAGGAACAATGGTGTCCTCAGTGCTATAAATACAGGCAGATACTTATCCATCATGTCATACCATTAGGGAGGTGTGTGGTTGGCCCCAAATTTATTCTGCAGCAGGATAATGGCCCCAAACCTGTGGCCAATGTCATTCAGAAATATCTTCAGGGTAAAAGAAAAACAAGAAGTCATGGAAGTAATTGTTTGGCCCTCACAAGAGCACTGATCTCAACATCATTGAATTTGTTTAGGATCACATGAAGAGACAGAAGGCAGCCTACATCCACAGAAGATCTCCAAGTTAGTTCTCCAAGATGTTTGTAACAACCTGGAAGGAACCTTGAAGAGTTCTTTCAAACACTGTGCATAAGTGGACCTAGAAGAATTGATGCTGCTTTGAAGGGTGGTTACGTCAAATATATTTGGATTTCTCTTCTGTTCATTTAGTTCCCTATTTGCTAATGGGTAAAAAATAAATCATTAATACTTTTATTTCTAAAAGCATTCTTAATTTATAGCATTTTTGCACAACCGGATAATACTTTTACACAGAACTGTATGCCAGAGTTTTGGGGAACTTACAGAGCGGCTGTAAAGAGGCAAGAGTTAATTTAAATTGAGGACATTGCTGGAAATAAAGAATTCATGAAGGAAAGAGATGTTGCTTTGGCAAGCTTCTGTGTTTTGGGATGGTTTTTTTCCTAGGGATGGAACTTCTTGTTACATTGGAGTTTCACTATGCTGTCCTAACGATGTACAGTGAAAGTCCTCATGCCTCTCATTGATTGTAACTTCAGCTAGATGAAACAGCATAGGGCAACAATTTTTGAAACGGCATACCTCAAAAGGGCTGACTTATAGGAAGCATCCACAGTTCAGGGCCCATGATTCCTGTGGGATTGAAATTTGGCAATGTTGTGGCTGCCTCAGTGCTGCCGCAGTTAGCCACAATCACATGATCCTCATTTCCAGAATTTCCCCCTCCATCTTCCTGCAGGGAAATGCGATGGGGGTGAGTGGGGTGTGGTGTTGTGTTTTTTGGGGTGGGGGGGGGGTTCATTCTGTTTCTTCCTTTAGATAAGGAAGTATCTCTGAAACGATGATACTGATGGATCATGGATTTCCTGGTCCATAATTTGAACGAAAGCGAATCTGAGGGAACTATGACTGTCAGGCCATCAGCTGTGTCAGTCAACTGCCCTCCAGCCCTGCTAAGAGGATAGGCAACTTTCGCGTTAATCTGTCAGACTCCGCAAGCAGAAGCACGAGATGAAATCCTTTTTTTCTCACCAGGGTATTCTGCATGGGAGAGGCAGGGGGATCGCGAGCCAGATGGGCCGAGGCCGCTTAATGCCAAGTAAGCCGAATCTGCGGGTGGTGGAGTGCAAACCTCAGCCCTGCGTGGTGTCAGTGGAAGGGCTTTCTTCATCCACCACGGACATTCAGCTGAAGAATCTGCTCATGTCAGTAGGACCCATCCAGGTAGATCCTCTCCCAACTTTGTAATTTTTGCCAAAAACTTTAGATCTTACAAAGCTCTGGACCAGTGTTTCTCAACCTTAGCAATGTTGGACTTCAGTTCCAGGAATCCCACAGCCAGCATGGCTGACTAGGGGAATTCTTAACATTGCCATGGTGGAGAAACTGCTCTATACATTTGAAAGAAGTGGCACCCTATGAGGTGTTTGGCTGTCAACTACATATGTTTAAAGATGCCCACTACCAGTATTATCTGAAAGTGGGGGGTGGGGTTTAAAAACCCTTTGGAATCAGGAAAATTCGGCTTGATCTAGTCACGGATTGAACCCATTTTCTGAGTTATACATTAAATATAAATAAACCAGATGGACTGGGTTTGCGTAGCCACCAATAAGCCGCAGGAGAAATTAACTAAAAATAAAACCGACCACGCTTAAGCAGGTTGTGCAAATGCAGCCACCAAATCTTTAAGTTGGTTAAAATACGGCAGGGTGAAGTGCTGTTTTGCCTTTTGTACCTCTATGTACTTCTCTTGGTTTTTATAGCGGTCTTTTCTGTTCCCTGTCCAGTTATCTTATGACGAATGGGAAAATTCCATTCAACTCTAACATCTAATGATGAGAATATTCTCTTAAGCAACTATTTTGGTGGATGCACATTTAAGACTGAACTCCTAAAGACTTATTTCGCACGGAACTGCCTCCAGATACTCTCATGTCCAGAGAGGTCAAAAGTGATACCCCTGGTTAGGTTCTTCAACATCATGTAGAAAAAAAATTAACCCTTACATAATAGAGGACCCTGTTTTCTTTTGACTGTAGCATGTCTTCAAAACCAGGAAGCAGGTGCAAAAAGGAGGTCAGGGAATCCTTCTGCAACCAAGTAATGTAGGGAGATCCTATTAAAGTTGTATCTATCACCTGTGAAGGAAGGAGGCAAATGTAAAGCCTGCTGTATAGGGTAAAAATTCTTAATGAAATCTCCTTTGTTGAACAATCTCTCTCCCCCACCCCCGTTTTATTTTATTTTAATGACCCTTACATTGGGGTGGAGTCGGGGCAACTGAATGGAGTTGAGTGTTTACTGGCCGGATGACTTTTCTGTCGCCAAGGCAGAGTTCATAGCTGATATTTACTCATTGTGTCCATCCATCCATCCACCCACCCACCCACCCATTCATTCATCCATCCATCCATCCTTCCATCCATCTATCCATCCATCTATCTATATCTCTCTATATCTATATCTGTCTATCATCTGTATCATCTATCTATATCTATATCTATATCATTTGTATCATCCATCCATCTCCCTCCTTCCCTCCCTCCCTCCCTGTATTTTAAGTAAAACCTACAAATTGAGTCTGAATAGTAACTAAACCTAACTTTAATTTAGGACTAAACAAGACCTAATTTTTTCAGATCATCTAAATTTGCTAGTGCTGACACATAATGGCTCAGGAATTACAGAACTATAGTTTAAAGTGGTAGCAATTGAGTTAGGGTTAAGCATGTATAATTTAAATAGATTGGAACAGAGACCCATCTGTCTGTTGCTCTTTACAAATATTTGAGATTAGCAGTATCGGCATTCTCTGAACCAGCTGGGGAAATGTTCCTTGCCAATTCCATCTGTCTCTAGGTGAAAATGTCAACCAAAGTACATTTCCAGTTTCAAGGGGACGCTAGTACAGAATATCCATGAATGTTCTTTTCACTAATAACTTGGCATCTGTTTTCAAATCGATTTTGGTGTTATTACTTAAATATTCATTTGCTATGCTTTTTGGTTCTTCTGTTGGGTCCATATGGAAATATTATTTAACTAGAGACATTTTCTGCAAGAATGAAGAAAGAAAAGAACTCTTGCCATTACTATTGTTTCTGGATCTTAGGACTTTACCTGGTCATATTTGGCTGGGAGTTTCCCATTTGCAGGATCTCAAGACATAATAATTATCATGTATACACATTGTCTTAATTCTCTGAGAAAACCCTAGAATAAGGGGGGGAAAACCCACACATGAATGGGCAAGAGTTGGAAATAATTAAAGCACTTTCACTTTCATAGAGGGTAGCAAAAGATAAACTGCTGTCATCACTTGAGAGCCAACTGTGGCATTTAACAGCCCACATCCAGCCCTTTGACAATCCCTCTCCAGCCCACGGCATCAGCGGCATTGGCAATGGGGGGAATGGGTGGGCATCCCTCCACAACAGTCCCAGTTCTTCATGTTGTCCTTTGGAAAAAGTAACTGCCCACCCCTGCTCCAGTGAGAGAGAGATCAGAGGTCACCATGCTAGCCCTGCAGACTTGTTGTCCTCCTTTTTGTGAAGAGGGTCGGGTGCCTGCATTGGATAACCTTCTACCTCTGCGGAGATACGGGTTAGGGTTATATGTCAATGTATGATAAACTAGTTGTATATAGGCAGGTGGTAGATCAATTGAAGGGTTACCAGTAAATTTTACGAATAGGATACCTTATTTTGTAGGCAATTTATTTTAATTAATAGTCATGATATTGATGTTGATTATTTTTTCCCCAGCCTAGCACGCTTTTGTGAACACTTCATTGGGAAAAAAGAACATTTCTCTAGTATTGGATCAAGTGTGAGTGGATGACAAGGTAGCTGAGCAGAGTATCCTCAACTGTGAATGTCAGAGCCTAGTTTCAAAACTCCTGAACACGCCATCAACGCTATCAAAAGCCAGGAATTTTTGCAGGCAGAGTGATGGACAGGGAAGAGGGAGGGATAAGACAAGACTATAAGAAAACGAGAAAGTACAGGTTAGGACTGTAGAAGGCCTATGACCCCCATTGAACCCCAAATTTATGTTGTGAAGTGAGAAATTTCTTAAGTGAGTTTTGCCTCATTTTATGGCTTTTCTTGCCACATTTGTTAAGTAAATCATTGCAGTGGTTAAGTTAGTAACAGGTTAAAAAAATCTGGATTCCCCATTGACTTTGCTCATTAGAAAGTCACAACATGACCCTGGGATATTGCAAATGTCATAAATATGAACCAGTTGTCAAGCATCCAAATGTAAATCACATGACCATGGGGATGCTGTAATGGCCATAAGTCACTTTTTTCAATGCTGTTGTAACTTTTAAATGGTCACTAATTGAACTTTGAAAGTCAAGAACTACCCTACCTGTACTTCTGAGTGGTTTTGATTCTGGCCCAACTAACCTTTGGCTTTTTTTTCATCACTACCGTTGTCTTTGGCTTCTACTGATTATCTTTGGTTCTCTCCCCATCTCTAATAGTGCTGTTAAGTCCTCTGCCCCATGAAGACAGCTTGAGCATCTTCTGCCAATAATTGTCTAGAAAGAAGCCTGTTCTATTGAAAAGGTTTCCAAAAAGCTCTGACAAGATCAGTTCTTGCAGCTGTTCCTTTTTTTTTTTTTAAAGTAAGCTACAGTATTGAATCATTGGAATAGCTCGTATTTAAAGGCAGTGGTGGGATTAAAAAAGTTTACTACTGGTTCTGTGGGTGTGGTTTGATGGATGTGTCATGGTGTGGCTTGGTGGGCGTGGCAGGGGAAGGTTACTGCAAAACTCCATTCCCTCTCCGTCCCATTAACTTGCTTTCCAGCTCTGTTCTCCTGTGCAGGGCAACAAATAAGACCCAGCTGGGACTCAATGGGAGGCAGGGAATAGATGAGGTCAGGGCCAGTCAGAGGTGGTATTTGCTGGTTATCCAAACCAATCAAAATTTCCTCTACTGCTTCTCCAGAACTGGTCTGTGAATGCCACCTCTGTTTAAAGGGAATAGTTGCACATAATATTTTTACACTCCTGGAAAATATTAGAGGTGGAAGTGATATAACTATTCAATTAAATTAGCAAATGATGTAATATTTATTCCAAATAAATACTATGGTAGTAGCACCATGTCATAAGGTGCTCTTTTATCGTATAATTATAACATCAGTTGCAGTCTTTTTTTCTGGAAAGCAGCATCTTGCTTGGCCTTGTACTCTCTAACTGCACCTTCCAGTTTCCTTACGTTTGTGTTTCTGTGCCTTTGTAAAAATCCAGTAAGGTTTTCAGTATGGACTTAAAGATAACATACCGTGTAGTTTTTTAAAAAAAAAAAAAAACAGGGGGGGGGGGGGGGAAGAAAAAAAAAAAAAAATTAAAAGGGGGAAATTGCTGGGTTTTATTCCCTGTGTGTCTTCTGCTTGACATTCGCAGTGTTATGGCACAACCTAGTGCTCACTGAGAGTAACTGCAACATTTTTCAGTGAATGCATTTTATTTAGAATATGATGATACAGTCAGGAATTACAGTCATGTTGCTTTGGTTGCAAGTTGGGGCACCCACACGACTGGAAGTTAATTTCCAGCTTTTTTGTGATAGTTGCTAAACAAACGTTGCTTGCGATTAAGCAAACCCATTAATTTGAAAGTATTATCATGGAACACCTCAATAGATTGTAAACTTGGCCTGCCTGACATGCAGTCATGTGATTGCACACATTTATGATGGTGGTGTGTGTGTGCTTTATAGGCCATAAAGTATCCATTCGGTGGCCATGGTAACTTTGGACACTAATAAAACGACTGATTGTAAAGCAAGGTAATCAATAAATTTGAAAGCTGAAGAGACACTTCAATAAAAAGCAACTAAATATAGCTACCACATAGCTACCATGTTTTCCGAAACTAAGACCAGGTCTTATATTTTTGAGGCCACAAAAAAAAAGCACTAGGTCTTATTTTCAGGGAGGTCTTACTTGTTTTCCTCATGTACCAGGAGGCGGAGGGGGCAAGCTGCCCCACATGCTTCCTTGCCTAAAGATCTTACCAGCAACTTGCTCTATGGAACAATTGATTTGCACTGCTCAGGCTGCTACCTTCAAGAAGCATGGCTGCTTTTGGTTGTTGTTGTTCACTTAACAACCATGTTACCAGTTATTACAGTCTTCATCGTCTGTGTCACCTGTGGCAGCTCTGCAGCCACCTCGCTTTCTGCCCGGCCAAATCCACCATCAA